CTTTTTGCCCAGCGAAGCTGGTCCTTGCAGCTAGATTCTAGATTACTTAGAAAAACAGTCTTTTATATGTAAAAAACTATATTACATACAAATAAAAACCCAGCGAAGCGGGTCCTTGCAGCTAGTTATTATAATAAAACTGACCTTATTATAATTGAAATCGTTGAAATTTTTCTTTTGATATTATAAATAAATAAACGAAGCAGAAATTAATAGAAGTATTTATAATATATCAACACCACAATAAGATACCACTTATCTGCAGCTTGTTTTCTAAATATCTGATGAATAGAAATTAGTTGCTGAAACGTTATTTTTCTTTCAAATTTTATAATACAATTGTCCTTGACAATCTCATGAATAAAATATTCTATAAAGTACAGTTAGTGATGTCATATTAACGAAGTACATCTACTTCTCATTCGGTTACAGCAGAGCGAAACTTTGTAATTACTGAAGACAGGTATTCCCTATTAGAAATACGCTATCCTCCATCTCTTATTAAAATATTGTTATGCTCTGTATGGATAAAATATCACAGTTACCACCGATCTAAAGAAAATATGACTATTATGTTAGGTTAAAAAATTTTCCTCATAGTAGAACGACTTTTGTTGCTTGTAGTTTCGTGTAAAACCTTTTGTGAATTTTTTTATTTTGATTGAATTAATTAATATGCGATTTATTGATGTATGTAATATTTTAGTAATATTCATATATGATATATAAACATATATCAGCCCGAAATGGGTGGCATACTTTTCCTTGCGCATGAACGTCTCCGGTCGTCGCCTGAACAATTCAGCTTCTTCGATCTGAGAGACGTCGAAGAGATCGTCTAATTCCGACAAAAGGTATGCGTAGAGTGACGTCCAGTCGATGGCCGGCAATCGATAGTGGACCATACGATGGTCGAACAAATTTCGTTCGACGGCGCCCTCGATCAGATTGCTTTGAAATGATCCGCTTTGCTCCCGGCTTCGGAACAATCACTGTATTAGGAAAACGAGTATTGTTCGCTGTCATCGTGAATACAAAAAACAACGGTCATTCCGTTCAAGTTTAATTCGTGCTGATAATATCTGAAATATATAATGAGAAAAACACTGTAAAGAAAGCGATCCATATATTAAAACTTTTGTGGAGTATAATTTCTTAGAAATAAAAGAATTTTATCATACATTAATTAGCAATTTCCTCTTAAAAGAGGAAATCAAAAGTAACTTACGTTTGTCGAGACAGAAAAGAAAATTACGAAACATACGAACGAAAAAAATTATATTATAGTATAAAACACGAGTGAGAATAATAATTTTTTTGTGTAATTTTTAGATAATAGTGTATACAAAGACGACACTCGATACTGGTATTACTATCAATACTGCCAATAAATGCAAATCTTGAAGGTTACGATCCGTATTATTGATAAAGCAACGGATTAAAGTAATTTTACTAAAGACAAACGAGCATACTATTGTACTTATTTCCTCTATTTCTCTTTTAGATGTTTGGCAAATGTTTCTAACAACAAAAAACTGACGTACGATAGACACTAACAAAAATTTTGTCGTATATATTCTGATGTTAATAACGATAACCATAGCTATGTACTCGTGAAATATACAGAAAATTTCCTGCCATATCGATCTGTTATATTCGAAAAATCTAAAAGAGATGTACCGGTACCTATTAATAAAAATGTCAGTTTTACTTTAGTTTTTCTGTAATTTATAGAAAAGTTTGTGAGGTTTGAAAAAAACTTTGGACATGTGCGGTTTTTTACATAATCTGATTCAATCCCTCATTATAGGGATTGAATCAAATTACTAGTATCATGCCCCTGAACATCATACTTTTCAAGTTAGTAACAAAAGCATGCCAATGATGTACTGTACGTAACTCATTTCAGGGGTAAAGTATTTGAATTGAAATAACATTATACAGTTGATTAGGGCCTACTGGCCCAAAGCTTCTGACCTGTTGTCTCGTCTTTCATCTATCTAACTCCTTCTTAAGATTGAGAAAGAATAGACAGACAGTAAGACGGACGACCTTGGGAATTTATAGGTCTACAGTTTTTTCAACAGACCCATGATAATGTGAGTGTCATAAAATAGATTTTTATTTGACTGATGAGAAGCTTTATGCCCGAAACGTGCAGATGGCACGTATCAACTAAAAAGAGATAGAAATAAAACCAAGTGTTTATTTAAAACTCACATTTGAGTTAGAAGTCCAACAACATAGATTTTGAACTTTATTTGTTTTATGTTAGTCTATACGTTTGAGTTCTTTGCAGAGGTGATAGCATTTTGTACGTTTAGAAAGGATGGAAACGAATGATACGGTTGCTGAATATTTCCTTACTGACTGATAACGTTAATAACGTAGCTTCTTTATTTGTGTCTGTTCGAATAAATCTGTGTAAATTAACATTATTTAGGTATACTTGAAATACTTTTTATATTAGGCTAAATATTTTTAACTGATAACTCATGTTTTGAATTAACCAAATTTATTGTAAGTGTTATTCGCATAAGGGAAAGAAAAACACGGGCGAAGTGCCTTTACGTAATTTATACGTAAATAAAAAGAGTTTCCTACATAAAGTTCTCCCAAGAAGCATCTCTTGGCGCTGTGTTTTATTGCCGCATCCTGTCAATCTAATAACTTGATTTTATTGTTGTTATTACTTTTTCAAATAATATTCAACTTTGCTAATGAAATGAATATATGTTATATATCAGTATTTATTTCTTCTCTTACAGTTGATGTGTGTTTTTTCACCGAAAATGCATTACTATCGGAATCAGGTGTTTGTACCGTTTATCCGTTTTACTTTTTGTTCAAACAATGCGTACATATCTTCTACTTTACTAATAAAAACAAATGATTATTGAATAAAATTCTCACTTTTTAACAAATGATGATCGAATAAAACTCTAACTTTTTAAAATACAATAATACCTCGACTTACGCTACCCCGACTTACGCGAACCCGAAGTTACGCGATTTTCAAATCTCGCCGATTCGTCTTTTGTTTGAGCGCCACGCGACTCTTGATTACTCACTCCCCCCACACTATTGTTCAGCTTACATGTTCAATCCTGTCGCGAGGAAACGACACATAGCTACAATTTATTTTATGTTATTTATTTCTGTGTTTGTTATATTTACGAAGACTCGAAAGACCCTACTATGCCATCCAAACGAAGTAAAACCGATTCTTCTGCATTAAACAGAAATAGAAAAATTTTATCTTTGGAATGTAAAGTTAACATTATTAATCTTGATATTCTGGTTTAAACTTGACATAATTTTAATCTTTTTGTTTAAACTTAGTTAATTTATAATCTTTTAATGTAATGTTTGTTTAATCTCGAACTTTTGGTTTAGCGTTAGCGTTTTTTACGTAACTTTGGTAGTTATATACGTCGTTCACGTCACTTTGGTTGCCATAGGCGTCATTTATATTACTTTTGTGGCAATAAGCATTATTTACGTCACTTTAATGGCCATAAGCTTTGTTTGCGTCACTTTGATTGCCATAAACATCGTTTACGTCACTTTGGTGGCAATAGGCGTCGGTTACGTCACTTTGGTGGCCATAGGCGTCGTTTACGTCACTTTTGTTAACATAAGCGTCGTTTACATCACTTCAATTGTTATAGGCATCGTTTACGTCAATTTGGTAATCATATATGTCGTTTACGTCAATTTGGTGGCCATAGGCGTCGTTTACGTAACTTTGGTGGCAGTAGGCGTCGTTTACGTCACGTTGGTAATAATAGGCGTCGTTTACGTCACTTCGGTGACCATAAACGTCGTTTACGTTACTTTTGTGGTTATAGGCGTCGTTTACGTATCTTTAATGGCCATAAGCGTCGTTTACGTTATTTTGGTAGTTATAGGCGTCGTTTACGTTACTTTAATGGATATAGGCGTTTTATACGTAATTTTGGTTGCGATAAGAGTCGTATNTTTAGGCGAATAAGTTGAGTTTACTATCGTCTGTACAGTATGTAAATTAGGTACCGTAAGTCTAATACAGTACTGTAATTTTATATATTTCTTGTGAAAGAAACATTTCTTATTCAACGGCCATAAAAATTATTTCAATTAATGATGTCTCCAAAGTTCAACGAATTTTTCGCAAAAAAATAACATCAGAAATTGCGGCCGCCGTTTGGTGCGCTGCTCCGCGACAAACACAAGCTTAAGCAATGGCGATGTCGAACGGTGCACACTCGGTAAGTGATCCTACAATGTTTTGTTTATAGCATAGTTTATACGGATTACTCGCAAAAAATTATACGTAATTTGGAAATGTTAAGTCGAATTAGTCTAGAATCGATTAATTTTATGGAAAAAAACCTTTCAAACAGCCGTATTCCGTAAACTTCACACGTATCGGGCTGCGATTGGCTCATGTATTTAAGGATTCCTAGAACGCGAAATTCGTATAACGAGAAATGTATCTCCGCGTTATAGGGGGTCTACTGTATACAGTAGAACCCCTCTAATCCGTCACCTTTGGGACTGGGGGTATGTTCGGAACGCAAAAAAGGTCGGATTATCAGAAAAAAGTAAAATAAACAATCTTCCCCTTTGTCCAGTCTTTGTAGCACTGCTAATTTTTCATTTAATGAAAGAGTCACGTGTTTACATTTCACTCCTGACATGTTCAAAACACACATAAAACTGTATATGTACACACAATGTAAAACATACTTTAACGAACACAGAAAAACGCCACGGACGGTGAGTCACCGACGAATCTGGACAAGTTTCTCGACTCTGACCACGGTCGGATTAACCGGAGTGACGGACTAGCCGAGGGCGGACTAGAGGGGTTCTACCTAAGTACGTCACTATGATTGTTATTTTTATGTGTTCGACGTAAACATTTAGGACATTTAGTCTATATTGTAGTGTATATGTGAACATTGCCAAAGTTCGTTGTTATTTGATTTAGTGTTTGAATTAAATTTATGACTTACCATATACATAGAACGTGAGACTACACGCTGTGTTTCCTGCAGATAAGAGGAAACGAGATACAGTAAACATCCAGTAATATGGAGAAAATGAACAAAGAATCCCAAATGTTATATGAAGCGCGAGTCCCGATATTATCACTGGTCTTCTGCCATATCTATGTAAATATCGATATAATTAATATGTATTTTAAAACTAAAACATTTTAATGAAATTAAAGACAAGTTTACAGACCTATCGGATATCTGACCAGATACAATAGCGGACACGAGAAATCCCACGAAGTAAGAAGAGCCAGCGAGAGAACTCAACCAAGAACTTTCGCAAACTAAATTCCACTGAAAATTCAAATGAAATCAATCATCGAATATATATTTAATTGAAAAGTTTATATTGTTACCTTTTGAATGACACTGTTTTTATATTGTGAATGATCGTATTCCCACGAGCGACAAGGAATCTTTGAAAAGTTCTTTCCATATTTGGTATCGTCAATATCGTATACTTCGCATCGACTATGCATTGTTCTCCCGTTTCTGATCTCCAGGGGTGCGCTGATATTTTTCCACTCTTCCACAGACAAGTTAATGTATTTCGGTGTTCTCGCGCACCAATAATCCACCTTGTACGCCAAGAAAGGCCAATTTAAGTTGTTTGATGCTGTACCTATGACAAACCACACGTATATCGCGAGTAAAATCTTCTGCCATCTTCCAAATGTACCGATAAGGTCTGTAAAGTCTTGAAATTCTTTCGCCGTTTCCTATCAAAAATATTCAGCAACGAATTGCACAACTTTTCCGGCTATTATGAAAGCTTATTTAGAAAATACCTTTTATAATCTTAAATACAACTTAAAAGCTAATAATGTTGCGTGATTTTAATACTTTCCCATGTTATGTCTATATAACACCGGGAAGGTAACACAATCTTGGTGATACGTCGTTTAGACTCATTACAATGGATACATATTTAATCTGTATAAAAACACTTTAAATTTTAACAGTTATGTAAATGTAAATATAATTCTTACCTCAACTTCAGGCGAGCCGTTCCTGTTTTCTACCATTGTATCCATGGTGTTTTTCATTAAAGTTGTATGATTTAAATATGGAACTAGATCCTACATAAAAAATAACAATAGTGTAATCGTTTTGTTTTGTCGCTACCAATCAAAAAACAAAATGATCTTTCATTATCTATAATATACAACAGTCTACAAAAGAAAAAAGAAAAATAAAATAAGTGTATGAATGTGTACGAGTATGGGTGAGTAATTAAAAGTTAAATGTAGTGTAGTAATAATAATTCTGTATAATTTTTATATGCCAGGAATCGTGTACAGCATAGATTATAAACAATTATTCCTGTTGCCTTTAAACCTCCTTTTGCACTCTTTTCTCCACTTCTTCATTTAGAATCATTTTCGAGCCTTTTTAAAAGCTTTTATAAAAAATTACAAATAAAAGTAGTACAAGGATAAATATTAAAATAGCTGTATCATGTTTAGTGATGAAAACTAGCGTGAAAATATATGTTAATTTTATTTGAGTGTAGAAGTAAATTTAAAAAATATTGCTACGTATAATGATTTAAATTTTTTGAAAAATTTAACTTAGATGCAAATTAAGTTCCTTTTATCGTTTTATTGATTCTGTCTTATTGTATATCATTTACTTTATATAAAGCCAATTATAAAGCAATTATGTTANTGCGTTATCGACACATAGCTACAATTTATTTTATGTTATTTATTTCTGTGTTTGTTATATTTACGAAGACTCGAAAGACCCTACTATGCCATCCAAACGAAGTAAAACCGATTCTTCTGCATTAAACAGAAATAGAAAAATTTTATCTTTGGAATGTAAAGTTAACATTATTTATCTTGATATTCTGGTTTAAACTTGACATAATTTTAATCTTTTTGTTTAAACTTAGTTAATTTATAATCTTTTAATGTAATGTTTGTTTAATCTCGAAATTTTGGTTTAGCGTTCGCGTTTTTTACATAACTTTGGTAGTTATATGTCGTTCACGTCACTTTGGTTGCCATAGGCGTCATTTATGTAACTTTTGTGGCAATAAGCATTATTTACGTCACTTTAATGACCATAAGCTTTGTTTACGTCACTTTAGTGGCCATAGGAGTCGTTTACGTTACTTTAATAGCCATAGGCATTGTTTACTTCACTTTGATTGCCATAAACATCGTTTACGTCACTTTGGTGGCAATAGGCGTTGGTTACGTCACTTTGGTGGCCATATACGTCGTTTACGTCACTTTTGTTAACATAAGCGTCGTTTACATCACTTCAATTGTTATAGGCGTCGTTTACGTCAATTTGATAATCATATATGTCGTTTACGTCAATTTGGTGGCAGTAGGCATCGTTTACGTCACTTTGGAAAGCATATACGTCGTTTACGTCACTTTAATGGCGATAGGCGTCGTTTACGTCATTTTGGTGGCCATATACGTCGTTTACGTCACTTAAATTTTTTAAACGTCTTTACGTCAATTTAGTAACTATAAACGTTGTTTACCTCATTTTAGTGCCAATAGGCGTTGTTTACGTCACTTTTGTGGCCATAGGCGTCGTTTACGTGAATTTGGTAACCATAGGTTTCGTTTACGTTACTTTGGTAACCATAAACTTCGTTTACGTCACTTTTGTGGTTATAGGCGTCGTTTACGTATCTTTAATGGCCATAAGCGTCGTTTACGTTATTTTGGTAGTTATAGGCGTCGTTTACGTTACTTTAATGGATATAGGCGTTTTATACGTAACTTTGGTTGCGATAAGCGTCGTATACATTACTTTGGTCCCATAAACGTCGTATACATAACTTTGGTGGCCATCAGCGTCGTTTACGCACTTTACTGGCCATAAGCGTCTTATACGAAACTTTAGTAACCATAGGCGTCCTTTCCGTCACTTTGGTCGCTATACTTACGTAACTTTGCTGGTTATAAACGTCGTTTACGTTACTTTAATGGCAATTAACGTCGTTTATGTCACGTGGCCAAAAGCGATTTTTAAATACCTTTGGTAATTATAAGCGTCGTTTACATCACTTTGGTAACCATAGGCGTCATTTATGTAACTTTTGTGGCAATAAACATCATTCATGTGATTTCGGTTGCCATAGACGTCATTTACGTCACTTTTGTGGCCAAAAGCGTCGTTTACGTCACTTTGGTGGTTATAGGCGTCGTTTACGTCACTTTGGTGGCTATAAGCATCGTTTACATTACTTTTGTAGCCATAAGCGTCGTTTACGACACTTTGGTACCCATATACGTTATTTACGTAACTTTTGTCGACATAAACATTGTTTACATCACTTCAATTGTTATAGGCGTCGTTTATGTCACTTTTGTGGCCATAGGCGTCGTTAACGTCAATTTCGTAATCATAGGTGTCGTTTCCGTAACTTTGGTGGCCGTAAACGTTGTTTACGTTACTTTGAAAAGCATAGGCATCGTTTACGTCACTTTTGTTTACATAGGCGTCGTTCACTTCACTTTGGTGGCTATTAGCGTCGTTTACGTCATGTCTGTATTAATAAGCGTCGTTTACGTCATGTCTGTATTAATAAGCGTCGTTTACGTCATTTCGATAATTATAAACGTCGTTTACGTCACTTTGGTATTTATAGGCGTCGTTTACATAACTTTAATGGCCGTAAGCGTCGTTTACGTTCTTTTGGTTATTATAAGCGTCGTTTACGTTATTTTCATGGCCATAGGCGTTTTATACGTAACTTCAGTGTGCATAAACGTTGTTTACGTTACTTTAGATGCATACGAGCATCGTGTATGTCACTTTGGTGGCTATAAGCGTTTTTTACGTCACTTTAGTTGTTATATACGTCGTTTACGTCAGTTCGGTTATTATAAACGTTGTTTACGTCACTTTGGTGGTTATAGGCGTCGTTTACGTCACATTAATGGCAATAAGCATTGTTTACGTTATTTTGGTGGTTATAAGCGTCGTTTACGTTACTTTGATGGTTATAGGCGTTTTATACGTGACATTAGTTGCCATAAGCGTCGTATACATAACGTTTGTTGCCATAAACGTTGTTTTCATAACTTTAGATGCATACAAGCATCGTTTACGTCCCTTTGGTGGCCATAAACGTCGTTTACATAACTTTATTGGTTATAGGCGTCGTTTACGTCACTTTGGTTGCTATAAGCGTCCTTTACGTCACTTTACTTGTTATAGGCATCGTTTACGTAACTTTCGTTACCATAAGCATCTTTTACGTCAGTTTTGTTACCATCAACGTCGTTTACGTCACTTTACTGGCCATAGGCGTTTTTTACGTTACTTTGGTGGCCATGAACGTTGTTAACGTCACTTTGTTGGCCATAGGCGTTGTTTACGTTAAAAGTAACGTAAACAACGCCTATGGCCAACAAAGTGACGTTAACAACGTAGTTATAAACGTCGGTTACATCATTTTAATGGTTATATACGTATTTTACTTAACTTTGGTGGCAAATAAGCGTCTTTTACGTCACTTTGTTAATTATAAACGTCGTTTACGTTCCTTTGGTTGGCATTGGCGTCGTTTAGGTTTATTTGATAGCCATAGAAGTCGTTTAGTCACTTTGGTGGCTATACGTGTAATTTATGTATCTTTGGTGGCAATAGGCATTATTGTCATGTTGCTGGCTATAGGCGTCGTTTACGTCACTGTGATGATTATAGGCGTCATTTACGTCACTGTGATGATTATAGGCGTCATTTACGTCACTTTTGTGGTTATAAGCGTCGTTTACGACACTTTGGTAACAATATACGTTGTTCACGTAACTTTTCTCGACATAGGCATCGTTTACGTAAATTTCGTAACCATAAATGTCGTTTATGTCACTTTGGTGGCCATAGGCGACGTTTACGTAACTTTAATAAGCATAGGCGTCGTTTACGTCACTTTGGTGGCAATAGGCGTCGTTTACGTTACTCTAATAGCTATAGGCATAGTTTACGTCATTTTGGTGTCCATAGGCGTCGTTTACGTCACTTATGTTTTTATAGACGTCTATACGTCAATTTAGTAACTATAGGCGTCATTTACATAATTATAGTGGCAATAAGCGTTGTTTACGTCACTTTTGTGGTTGTAAGCGTCATTTACGTCACTTTTGTAAACATAGGCGTCGTTTACGTCAATTTAGTGGCAATAGGCATCGTTTACGTCAATTTGGTGTTCATAGGCGTCGTTTACGTAACTTTGGTTGCCATACACGTCGTTTACGTCAATTTTCTAACCATAGGTGTCGTTTACGTCACTTTACTGTTCATAGGCGTTTTTTACGTCACTTTGGTGGCTATAGGCTTTGTTTACATCACATTGGTTGTTATAGGAATCGTTTACGTTATATTTGTGGCCATAAGCATTGTATTTTGTCACATTAGTGGCTATAAACGTAGTTTTTGTCACCATGGTAGCCATATTCGTCGTCTATGTCATTTTGGTGGCCATATACGTTGTTTACGTCACTTTGGTGGCTATAGGCGTCGTTTACGTCACTTTGGTAGTTATAGGCGTCATTTAAGTCACTTTTGTTGTTATAAACGTTTTTACGTCAATTTGGTTATAATAGACGTTGTTCACGTTACTTTGGTTGCCATATGCATCGTTTACGTTAATTTGGTAACTATAGGTGTCGTTTACGTCACTTTGGTTTCCATAGGAGTCGTTTACGTCACTTTTGTGGCTATAAACGTTATTTACGTCACTTTGGTTGTTATAAACGTCTTTACGTCAATTCAATGATTATAGGCGTCGTTTACGTCATTTAGGTGGCCATAGGTGTTGTTTACGTCACTTTGGTGTGGCTATAAGCATCGTTTACGTCAGTATGGTTTTTATATACGTCTTTACGTCAATTTGGTAATCATAAGCGTCGTTTACGTCATTTTAGTGGTTATAGGTGTTGGTTATTTCACTTTGGTGGCCAGTAATTTTGTTAACGTCACTTTGCTGGTTGTAAGCGTCGTTTACGTCACTTTTGTAAACATGAGCGTCGTTTACGTCAATTTGGTTGCAATAGGCATCGTTTACGTCACTTTGGTGTCCATAGGCGTTGTTTACGTTAATTTA